GGAATTAAAGGGTCACTCCAGCAATATTGATTCTACATTTCCTATATTGCAGCTTCTTAATGTCTCTGAATTGGCCCTCCCTGACTGTAAATGTCCATTTGTTCCCAATTTTGACACATTCAACTAATCAAAAGTACCTCTGTGCAAGTTAGGGGCATTTTTAGTGGGAAGTAAGTACTCGTAAGTACTCCTTTATACTTTATACTACAGTTAATTTCAGAGGCATATATTGTACTATATATTCCATTACATTTGTCTGGCAGCTACCATTCCTTTGCAGATTTTGATTTTACATACCAAACATGATCAACTTCTTAAATATAATGCATCAGTATGGACTGAATTAACAAACAGCACATAAAGTAGTTAAAATGAGCTCCACTTTGACTGGATTTAAATTGTTATTTGATTTGAGTACTTCTTCCACCACTGATCACAAGGCAGTTTGTCACACTGTTAAAGATTTGTAGTCCTAATCCAAAATAACTCTGATGAAATCACTATGACATTATACAGCTGTTTTCACAGGCTAAGCAGCAGAGGTAGCAAAAGTACACCCATTCTTTACTCAAGTAGTACTGATTCAACTTATTTACTCAAGTAAAAGTGAAAAGTACAGGCTCTTTAAGAGGTTTCTCTTCAGGACATTTGTACTGGCTGTTTCTGTCAAAGCTAACTGAAAAAGTCTTGGTGTTGGGAAGTGGTGCAATGATGGGGTTCCTGTCAAATACATTAAGGCTAAAGTAACAAGCCTGTCTTTAAATGTAAGTAGTAGAAAGTACAGATGTTACTAAAAATGTAGAGGGTCAAAGTAACAGAAAGAAAAATTGATACTCCAGTAAAGTACAGATACCTAAAAACAACTCAAATAAAGTACAAAGTGCCTCTTCTGAGCAGCGCCAACCATAACCAGCCAACTGGTCTTAATGTGTAAAACTGGTTGAGAGCTCTTTTAAACAGCACACTGTATAAGGTAAGACTTTAATACCACGAAGAAGGCCGCACTGTCTTCTCCCAGGTTTTGGCAAGGAGTCAGTCTGTTATTACATGTCAGCATGGTTAGACAAATCCACAGCTGATACTTTGATGTAATATCAATAGATTAAATAAAATGTTATCCAAAGTTATTGCCCTGAAATGGCAGCTCAGACTATATATTGTTTTGTGATGTTCAGAGCCGGCTCCCTGCAGAGAAAGTTTCCATTGCATTCTGGCAGGCAAGCTGTGCCCCACAGCCCTGAGCCCTCTGCCATCTGTTCCTGCAAAACTGACATTGCCAGAGATGCAAAAACATAACATTTATTTAGCCAGTCAGCTTGTGGCTGTTTGGAACTGAAGGATGTGAATTACCAGCGATGGTTGGAGAGAAAAAAAACGTCATAGGGTTAGATCTGAATCTCTCCTCTTTTTTTAAAAAAAAAACCTGGACCTGTTTGTGGAGTGGCTTGGAAAGACTCACCTGAGAGGACTGGAAGTCCTCCAGAGAGGGAGGAGAACATGAAAACAGCAGGACAGGCAGCTACAGCAACGTCTACGAGATGTGTGTGAGAGTGTCAGGGAGAGGACAGAATCCATTTATTCCTTGTCACTGGTCAGAAAATGAACATGTCAGCAAGGTTAGTGTTTGGGAAGGGGCGCCTCACTCCCAAGCAGCTCTCCTTCGCTTTCCCTCAAACAGATTCTCTGAGGAAAGGCGGTCGGTCTGCAGGAGGAAAGAGGAGGATGTTCTCTTTTTCTCTCAGATGTCGACTGGGCATCATCAGAGGGAGAACCAAAGGTAAAGCCGACAAGTCATTCTTTGAAATGGAAATGTATTCAGTTGATGTCTTTAATAATGTAGAGCACATCTGAGACTTTGGAGAAGTTATTTGACAATTTATGCACTGTTAGAAAGGAAGAATGTAGTTGAAGACACAAAACTACTTGACTTTAACCAGTTTTATTTGTAATTAATTCCCCTTATGATCATTAAATTACATACATTACCTGAATTAATTAAAAAAGTTAAATTGTTTGTATGCGTGCTGCAGGCCTTTTAATATGAGCATTTTTTGACTCAAACCTTAAAGCCGAACATTACATCATGAGTGTGTGTGACACATCCTTATCCTTTTGGCTCTTTTTTTGATCTGTGCTGGCTGACGAATGAATTAGTCATTTTGCTTTTCACTTGCAACTAGATCAGATCACCATAAGATGGCAGTGTGGTCAGTTTGATTGAGGAGCAGGAGAAGATTCGGGCCCTCCTTTTTAGAATACCCACTTTGTCTATGTATAATGAAAATGTGGGCTATTTTCAGAAGGGCTATTTTTACGATAATGTCGATAAAAGGTTGTAAAAATGTACAAACCGGCACTAAATAGTGAATACAGTCATAGGTCATTCTCTTCTTGAGAGCACCTTTTCAGTCTTCTTCCTTAGTTTGTTTCTTTTCTGGTTGACCATCCTTAACCTCTGTTTCTATGCCAAGGTCACTGCAAAAAATCGGCTTTCTTAAGTTTATCATTACATTATCACTGACTCTACATCAATAATGTTGATTTCTGTTCTAACGGAAGAGCAAAAGAAGTCAATTTTTATTATAACCCAACGTTTGCCGGCCTGTTCCCAGAGGCTTTTATCAGTCCAACACACTGCTCCGTCTTCCTTTTTTCTTTATTCTGTTGGAAATTAATTAGTCTCGCTCTGAAAGACTACACTCGCTCACATTGTAAATCGGGTATTAAGGACAAAAGTCTCAGAGGAAATTATCTACACCGAAGAGTATTGTGTCCACTGGAACAGCTGACTAATTAGGCTCCACGCAACAGCGGGGAGAAACACGGAAAAATGTTTGCAATCACTTGACACATCTGTAAAATAAGCAGTTGTAGAACAGAGGGGTTAATTTCACGTTGTGTGTTTTGTAATGCTGTGTGGGGTTTGCTGGTGCTGTGCATTGGGATTTTTTAAAATTTCCTATTTGCTGTCTCCAAAGTCTCAGTGATGACAACAATTTGTGCAGTGACCAAAACAAATGAGGCAGAAGAGGCTCAGGGGGGGCTGCCAGTGAGGCAGCAGGAGGGTGGTTGTTGTTGTTGGCGTTGGTGGCTGCAGTGGGGATCAGGAAGTGGCAGGCGTCGGGGCTTATGTGCATGACAAATGGTCAGACAGGTGTGGCGGCGGGGTCAGACAGCAGACCCGTTAGCCCTTCTGCATTTGTGTGGAAGGACCTTCAGCGGGCCCGGGGATTAGCAGAGGGTCATTTCACCCTCCTGAGGGGGAAACATGAAATGCCCGGTTTTGGAGGAAGTGTGTTTAATTTCCACACAGTCACTCAGATTCCCTAATATTATTTTTTGCTTCTTTTTGGACGCTATTTATTTTCACATGATGACAGTGTGATGAGAAGTAGAATCTGTTATCACAGCCTTGTGCACGACAACTGCACTTTTATGAATAACAGTGTGACATGTTCTCAAACAGGCAGCTGTTCTGCGCAGGAATTTTGCATATTCATTTTCGATTATGAGCTTGCGTGTGTGTGTCTGTGTGCGTGAGGGAGAGATACTAGCAGATACAAGCTCTTTGAAATGGGTGCAGTCTCTATGTGTTAAAAAAAAACGTGACACTGTGCAGGGCTCAGTCTGACAATGAATGTGCAGGTGGTGTTAATTGTGTCGACAGTTGAATGTGTGCAGTTTTGTCGTGTCTTAATCTCAGGGTGTGTGTGTATTTGTGTGTGTGGGTGGGATTGAGGATGTGCATACGAGGGGTGTTTGACTTGGTGGGAAATGGATAAAGAGTGAGTGTGCGTGTGTGTGTGTGTGTGTGTGTGTGTGTGTGTGTGTGTGCTGGGGGAGGGACTGACTATCGTGTGTGCCTGCCTCACTGAACCCCTCTGGCAGAGGGAGAGAGAGGGAGCACACACATTCACTCTAGCTCTGTATGAGAGAGAGACGGGTTGTGTGTGTGCTCATGTGAGTGTATATGTAACAGAGGATGATAAACCCTCTGGAAAAGGACGAATGATTTGTAAGAATAGCTCAAAAATGGAACCACGGCACGATGGCAAGAAAAGGACGTGAACCATTGCTCTCCCTGCTTTGGATTTTTATAGAAAAAGAAAGCTTGGTAGATTTATATTTTTGAGGATTGAAGTTTAAACAGAGGAGAGAACTAGAGACCTTCTGAGGATCAGAATTTGCCCTCTGGAGCTCAATTCCTTGCTGGGTTTTACAAGCCGGGACAAGGGTTAAGGCAATGCTGGACTTGGGGCAAAGGAATGAAAAAACGAAGATGGTGTTTGTGTTTTATCTGAGCGGCTGAAACTCGGCCTCTACTTTTTTTTTAACTCAGCTGGAACCTTAGCTCTCTGCTCACTACTACAGATCAGCAAGGTTAATTCCCAAGGGTGGCTGCGCTGACTAAACTCCAGCCATGCTGTGTGGTCTGAGGAGAGACACTAAGAACAGCATTGGTAAGAGCACCACACTTTGATCGCTGCAGAGTGAAGAGAGTCAGCTTGTGTGCTGTAAATGGGGATTTGTGGCAGGAAGAAGGGGTTCAGTGATGACCTGGATTGTTTACTAACCTGTAAACAGTTATTACTTATTTGTGATCTGTAATCCAGTCAGCCTGAATGCAAAGGAATTTAAATGTAGAGTCATTACAATGCTTGTATTATGGCTGTGATGGGTTAAAATAGATTTAAATGTGAGTGGACTTGACCACCAGCTCTGCATACCATCCTGCCATGTGTAATTGGGGCAGATATAGCGACGTAAACTGGGTCTGGCAGGGCCCAGTTTATAAATAAAGTTTTACATCTGAAAATAGAATTATGATTTCATTGTCATTGTCAGTGACGCCCCCATATTTAACCTACATCCTGATTGGTTATGAGAGGGATGGCAAACAGTGCCCTGGATTAAACCAGGAGTTAATTAACTCACCACATATTTATGCAGAAGTGTAGAATTTTATTTCAGTCAGTGCGACACTCTGAGGGTCCTTTACATGCAGCTCTTGTGGCAAACCTCATCCTTGAGCCAATAAGTAACCTCTTTGTCAAGGTTTTTTTATTTATTTTTTAATCAATAGTTGTTTTATTGTTGAGGCTGTTTATTAATCAGCTCCGTCCTGATCTTAATTCTAGCCGTAAGATTAAATGATATATGTTATTTTAAGGTAGAGGAGGATTGTTGGGGGATGGCTTGATGGTACAGTAGCGTTCAGTCACGTGTAGAGCATTGGGTCTGCGTAACCCAGAGCTAATGGTGCCTTTTGACTGCAATGACAGCTGCTGGACTGTCAGGGGCCCTCAGGAGTCCGCGTGGTTTGTTATGGGGCTTTTGCCCAGCATAATGTGTTTGTGATGTGTCACTCACTTTGTGTATGTGTGTTTGTGCCTCACAGCTACTGGATAGGATATGTGTGCAAGGATGTGTGTAAATTAGTGGGAAATACCATGTTATGCATATGTATGTTCTATACATTGCCATAATATGCAAAGTCCAGTAAGATATTTCCGCAGTTAAGGTCTGACTCATGCAGCTGTGTGCACAAGAAGGCTGAATGTTCTTCCTTACTGCAGGGCATGCCCAAAGGTTTAGGGTCAGAGAGGATTTGACAAATGATCCATGCCTCTGTCTAAAGGCCTCATCTTCAGTTGGGCAGATGTGGACACTTGATGTGGACGGAGGGAAGGCAGTGAGTTTAATGCCCTTCAAGCACCTCTCCTGCTTCCTCCAGTTCAGTCTTTACAAATCAGCACAGATAGAAATTGATATACTGTCAGGCCTGCAGAGATGGAGACAACTGACAACCCTCAAATTTCCAAATATTATATTATACATATGTATATTGCAACATGAGTGAAGTTTAGACAAATAGATTTTGTCACTCCTATTATAATCATAGCCTGAGTCTTGAGGGAGGTAAACAGGAAGAGTGATGTCACAATGGATGTAGCAAGTCATGCTGTGTGATTTCCATTCTTTTAGCCTATATTTCTACTCACATTTTGGAAAATTGTTATCATGAAAAGTTTGAAAAAAAAAATTGGATCTGAGCAATTAATCTGAATTAAGCGCTAATGCATGCAATGTGAACACAGTTTTGCAATCCTTTGTGAATGGCTTTATGGACGTTTATCCTATTGTTTTATGACATCCTCAGAAAGTATATGTTACACTGAATCCAAAATTATGTGTATTATGTCTGTATTTTCTGATTTGACTGAGTTAGGACTCCAAGAAGGAGTGCTATTTTTGATAAAAATTCAAATCAGGCGCTTAAGATTTGAAAGTACCTTAATTGCCTCCATGAGCTGTGTGGTGGTTGTTTTTACAAGCCCAGCATGCACCTGTCCCTTTCACCTCATGCAGTCTTTGTCTCTCTCGCCTAACAATTTGAAAACCTCTAGTTTCTAAATTAAACAGGTTTTTAACCAGTCTCTGTATCAAAGCAGTCACTGGAGACTTTAACTTGTGATGACTTAAGTTTTCATGCCAGTAGTGTAAATCACTAACATGGCCCCTCTGCTCTTAAAAAGGAGGACTTGCACAGCTTCTCTTTAAGTTTGCAATATGATGTTCAATAACTGTGCCGTACAGCTGAAAAGGTAATCCGCAGTGGACAGGATTAAAGAAGTGCCTAGTCAAGTTTCTTCATCACTGGGACTGCTGACATGCTTGTGTGACTGCATTATTCAGGTTCAGATGGCCGAGCAGTGGCTCTGCTAATCTGAGGCCTGCCCTGTGCTGTGTCAGAAATGGTTCCGACTGTGGGTGAACAGAAAGGAAGACAAAAAAATTAGTATCCTTGTAGAGTAGATTGAACATTTCCCGGCTTTCTGTAGCAGCTGCTGTAAATGACATGAAAATTTCTCTCCATGCCCCAACAGTCCATTAACCGCATGCTGTTCCTTTAGGAAAATTCCCATGCTTTAGTGGTCGCATACATCAAGCTTGCCGCAAATGCATTCTTGTGTTAAATGAATGGTTTTCAAGGGTCTCTGCTGCAGACAGAGAGTAGCTATTTTAAACCCATGACCATTTTTATAGGATTGTCGTGGAAACAAAGTGGAGTGACCTTCCAGGGTCCTGAGTTCACTCTGTTTCAGTTGACCAATGCCTGATGGATGGATTTGGCTGTTGGCTAAGTGCTGTTTCCCTCCCAGAGCCCTGTAGTTAACAAGGGTGCAGTTCAAAGCATCAAAGTGTGTGCAGCTGTCATGATGTAGAATGGATGGTCGTGTTCATTTAGCCTTCTGCTGCAGAGTTTCCCTCCATGTCACCACAGTGCTTCATAACATCACCTCCATACCCCCCTGCTGTCTCTTCAGATGAAGGACCGTACTCAAAGGGGAGCAAGGAGTCCGCTGCAACTGACCAATCACATTCGTCCCAGAGGCGCAGCTTCTCAGGTACAATACAGTCAAACCTGACTTCATATCATTTTGTCTTTTATCTCATATCTGATTCATGCTGCTGCGCCCAATTCACCTACGTCTGCAGAAAAAAGAAGAGTCATGCCGTGTTGGAGGTTTTTGTGTGCATGTGGAGCCATGTGTCTGCTGTGTTTTACTTGATTTTACTGTTTTGAATGCTTAGATAAGGGTAAAAAAAATGCTTGTGTGGCATACCTGTCATTTGTACTAAACCACACTAGACCTCACATAGAACAATTTAACAGCGCAGCACAATGTGGACCACAAGACAGAATGAGTCCTCTGATGACACTATATAGCCACATATCCATCAGAGTTAAGGTCAAACTCATTTTCATTCACTTAAGAATACAATTGGATTTCCATTTATGACCTGATGAATCTGCGGTAAACTGTCCTTTTGCAATAACGCACTGAATTTCTTTCCATCATCAATATTTAGCGTGGCAATAAAACAGACTCCATCCTCCTCCTCCTCCTAAACCTGTCACAAAGATTCAATCAGATTGAGAGAACTGAAGGAACAAGGAAAAGACAGGACAGTGAGAAAATAAAGTATGTGGTCGTGTGTCAGAGAGCATCTCTGTGAGAGATTCAGGAGAGAAAGACGAAGAAAAGAATCTTTCGTTGCCTATCAGACAGGGTGATTCTGTCAAGCAGACGCTAATGCTGACTGTGGATCTGTTCCTGTGTCTGTATCTGTCAGCAGAGGAGTACCGTGGAGTGACCACGGTGGACCTGATGAAAAGGGAAGGCAGCAGCCTTGGCCTCACCATCTCCGGAGGGTCTGATAAGGACGGCAAGCCCAGAGTGTCAAACCTACGGCCAGGTGGGCTAGCTGCCAGGTGAGATTTCTGCTCTGTGATGCGGTTAAAACCTGGCAACCACACCAAGCTGTCCGGACTTGTTATTCTGCTCCCACAAACGTACACGTGTTGCAAATATACTAACTGCAGGGCTGTAGGCGTTGTGTTAGATCAGCTTGATGCTGTCTCACAGAGTAATACCATAACACTGCTTATTTGTTGGGTCCCAAGTCCCCAAGAAGCCACATAAGACGTGTCCTCAAATTGAGATTTTTCTTTTTTTATTGTCATTTCATGTTCAATTCACTGTATGGTGCCAATCATTCAATATAAACCTTTTGTGAGCTGAGATTGCTTCATTAAGATTAAACTAATTGAAACTAATTTTCCCTCAGAAATGTTACACTCATTTTCCCCAACATCAGCCACATGATAGGAAAATGTAGCAGCTGGACTCACGTTTCATGATGATTAAGCAGCGTGTGACTGAAGTGTAACACACGCATGCACACACAGTTGTGAATGACACAGCCCCTCTGAAAATGTCTTGCCCAAATATGCCATCGCTTGTCAAGTCCAAAGAGGTTTAAAGACAGACACTGTGCTAATTCATCCAAGCAGCTTGTCTTTCCACAGCTGAGTTCATTCTTGTGTGGAAGTGCTAGCTAATTTACTGGGTTGAGAGACACTCAGGCAGACAGGAGAGAGACCGGCAGTGACATTGTGTGATGAGACCGGACCGGATGACAGGCCACTCGGCTCTGCTGGTTAAGACGTCTCTCTCTGTCTGCTGTCAGTGGTGACTGGCAGTAGCCCAAAGGTGAGACAGGGCAAGCAGGCTAGAGCATCTATTTAATTAATTTTCTCTTCAATGAGCAGCATGTTGACTCATAATGTCATATGTGAGACACCATGTACAATCATCTCTGTCAGTGTCGGAAGAGGAGACGCTTTCAGCCATTCCACCCCAGCATCCGCTCACTGTTCTACATAGCTGGCTCTGTATGTTAGTCTACATACTGCAAAGAGATTCGTAATCAAATCACCATCGCTGTCTGGACACAAGTTAATACAACCAACCACGATAAATTGTGTAAATATTTAAAACATTAGACAGCGATTGTTTTATTTAACAGTGGGATCATGCAGAAAAAGATCTGCCAGAATATGTTTATCAGATTAGAAAGTTGCATCTCATTTTGATAAAGACTAGATCAAATTGTTTTAGGCCAAAATGTGCTGTGGGTCCCCTTTTGTTGCAACTGGAACACAGTCTTCCTCAAATGTGGGTGTTAAAAAAAAAGTTAATTAAAAAAACATTAGTCATGCATAATTCCTAAGATAATTAATACATAAAAATCTGTAAATGTAAGTGCAATAAACCACATTTTATATTCTATATTCTTATTTTCAATCTTTAACTGCTGTAAAAGCTCACAGAGGAAGAAGAAGAAGAAGAAAGCAACAAACGCAATCCAGTTCATGGTGATGGAAGTTCACTGTGAGCGGCAATTGGATCAAAAGCAAAGAAACAGACTGTGCCCAGAAAAGAGTTTGATCACTGCAGTGGCCTGCCACCAAGAATGACAAAGAAGCACAGTGAAGCACAAGCCTGTGTTTCTCACAAAGTTCTGAATGCAACTTATCATCAAAAAGACGCAGTTCAATGTGACACCAATGTCGTATAGTGTTATTGCAACCATGAATTTAGTGATGGATTCTAAATATTTGAAGTTAAGCGTTTTAGTGTTTTTTAGTTACATGGTTGCTGTTTAATAAATCAAACACTGATGGTGCAGAGCTGTATTGCACTCTTTATACTGTAAAAGCTTTTTTAATTCTATCAAAAATGTTTTCCACTGCTCAGCAAGCCCAAAGGGTACTCGGCTGAGAAAATATTTCAAAGGGGTTACATGTTGAAATACGTTTGATAACCGCTGCTGTAACAAACAGGTATTACAGTGAGTTGAGAGATGAGAGTAAAAGTTGTGAGCCGTAAAACCCAAAACAGTGAGCTGAAAGTGGGTAAAAAGCTCTGTAAAGCTGAGGAAGACTGCAGAGTTGTTGATGAAGCTCTGTGTGTCCATCACTACAAGCCACAACACATTACAGATGTTTGCAGCCTAAAAATAAGCCCCTCAGCAAGATGATCTTATCTTGGGTGATAATGCGGAATTGAGTTGATATCTGATATTGTGGTGCAAAGCACAAAACTGTCCCTGGCGGTGTGCGGCCCCAGGGCAGTATGCTCAGTTAGTAATCCAGTCTTGATCTTTAATGGTCTGCCCTTAACTTTCCACAGGAGTGACCAGCTGAATGTTGGAGACTACATCAAGTCAGTGAACGGCATCAACCTGTCAAAGCTCCGCCATGATGAGATTATCAGCCTGCTGAAGAACATCGGGGAGCGAGTGGTGCTGGAGGTGGAGTACGAGCTGCCGCCATTCGGTAGGTGAAGTTCTGTAAGATGAATATTCTGCCCTTTAGTCCAACAAATGCTCAGACATTTAGAGAAAGGGCTGTCATTACAAACAAGGCTTTGTATTTTCAAATGCACACAGGTGAGAAATTACTGGGTTAATAAATAAGTTTATTAGTTAAGGCTGCAGGCCATAAAAAGCCCATAACATCCAGAGGACTCAACACATGCTGCTAGAGTGGCATACCATATCAGCCCCTTTTTGATCTCGGTGCTGGTGGATATCCCTTTGGAGATAAAGATACCAGACTCTTGGGTATCACTTTGATTCACCATCTCTCTTGATCTCAGCACATTGATTATTTAAAAAAAAAAGAGTTGGGATTGGGACGTTTTTTGAAAGATAAAGTTCTATAGAAAACTTATTCATAGTTTTTAACCAATCTACATCAAACACGATTTAAATAATTTATTTTTCTAATGTATATTAGTTCATCCAGAATCTAGGCTCCAGACAATAAAACAAAACAAAAAAACTGGCGTCAGACTCAATGTGAAATTTAAGGATGTCATGTCACTTCTATCTACACTGTGGCCTTTTATGTCTTCTTCAGGTGCTTTAATTTCGTCCCACACCAAAACACATGCATTTTAATTGTAAAATATAATCTCCCAGTAAGCACTGATCTTAATAGGTTAAAACTGAGCTAAATTTGGTTTAAAAGTTACTGTTTTTTAGTAGCATTTGAATATTTGAGTGAATTATAGTCATTAAAAGTGTGTTGAAACAACAGTTATATCCCTGATGGCTAAAATTGTCATCAAAATTTACCCCCAATTTAACCTCAACATCTAGACATCTTTCGACCTGCAAATCAATACTTATTGGGTTTCCTTTATCAAGGCACCGGCCTTAGAAACAGAGTAAGTCCCCAGGCGCTGCACTGCAGCTGCTGACTGCTCTTAAATCATTAGTATGGGTCAAATACAGAGAATTCATTTCCCCACTGAGATTAATTAAACACATTTCCTCAATGCTTTGTTCATTCCCATGATTCAGCACACTCAGATGGCACAATGATCAAACTTTTGAAAAAGCTCTTTACATTCATTTTATGTGTAGCTTTAGAGGAGTCTGGTAATAATTCTTTGTCCTTTCCTCTCTTGCTGCTCTTAGTCCAGAACCCCTCAGGAGTCATAACCAAAACCATTGAAGTGTGTTTACACAAGGAGGGAAACAGCTTTGGGTTTGTCATGAGAGGTAGGTGGATAGGATATTTTTGTGTAAATCCTTCAGTAAAATAATTAGCTTTAGCTTATTTATTCTCTGTGTTTTGTTTTATAGGAGGCTTCCATGAGGACTGGCGCAGGTCTCGTCCTCTGGTGGTTACATGCGTCAGGCCTGGAGGACCCGCTGACAGGTGAGGACATGGTAGTGTAGCTTTATGTGTCTTAGCTGTGCACGAATGAGCCCATTCAAATTATTGTATGTGTGCATGCATGCATGTTTTTATTGTGTGTGTATTTAGATGTATGGCTCAAAGGATATGTGTTTTAGTAATTGCCTCATCTTTGTCTGCAATTAAAATATTTGTTTATCACCCACGTAGGATTATGATTGATTGTAAACCCACAATATCTTTATGCGCACATTATTTCTTTTGCATCAGTCTGTGCTCAGGCTGCTGCAATAGAATTTGTGGCTGTGACACATATATTGTGTGTTATCTTCAAAGCAGAAAGGGCACTGCTCATCCTGAGGCTAATGCAACATTGCACTTTTCCCCATGAAAACTGAGAGCACCATAACACTGGAGCAAACGTAATTCGCCATCAAAGACTTTACGGCCGTTTATCTCATTTATCCTCCATCTCACCTGGGAGGGGACACTCATGTGGAACTGTTTAATGATTTACTGTGACTGGTGCTTAAACGCTTGTATGAGCATCTTGCGCTGATCGCTTGTGTTTTATTTTTTCGCTCTCTTTCTCCTAATGTGTTTCTCCAGAGAGAGCACTTTGAAGGCCGGAGACAGAGTATTGAGCATAGACGGGATGCCTTTAAACAGAGAGAAGCATGCTGACGCTTTGACCATGCTGATGCAGAGTGGCCAGGAAGCACTGTTCCTGATTGAGTATGACGTCTCTGTCATGGGTGAGCAAACACACACACACACACACACACACACAGACTATGTGGAGGCATGGTAGGGCAGTGTTGCTCTGAGGGTAAATAATGTGGCCGTTTGGCTGCATGGATGTGAGTGAGTGTCGGTGCTGGAGACGCCACCAGGAGAGTCACACTGGCCCATGAGCACACTTCAACAGGGGAAGGGTAGATGGGTAATATTCAGTGTTTTATTGTAATGTGTTGAGCTCTCTACACTTGGCAGGTTTAATCCCAATATATATATATTTTTTAAAGAAATTTCTGTACCAGAGTCATTACGGTACTCTGTTGTCTATTTTTCAGGCAGTTTGTTAACAACATTTTTTAACATCATAAAACAAGGTTGGATGTGAGCAGTAGTCAGAGATCTTATGGTATGTCCCTAAGCTCTGGTGATGCCACATACTGTATTTCGGGGGACAAGATGACAGACCTTCAAAGGAGTATATTAAAGGGGCACACCACATCTATAAAATGAGGGATTCACAAGAGACAGATTACAAAAAGAATGATCAAAATCAAAGCAGCAGAGGCCAAGATATCCAGATTTTAGTATAGGTCCACAAAAAAACTACATTTCCCATGATGCAACTAGCTAGCATCTTTTTATTAGAACTTCCCAGTCTTTCAAAGTCCACATTCCAGTTTGTAATATAGGCTTTCTGGTAAATAAATGTGTAGTCGTGCCCAGGCCAAGATAACCCCGATGACATCACTATGACCTCATCTGGTATATGGAGTATAAAATTAAAAAGTACTCTCTTGGTTTCTCTGAAGGACATTTCTACCAACTGTTTCTGTGCAAAGCTAATTTAAACTTCAAAAAGCCCCTTTAAATGAATTGTTGACAAGTACAAGTGAGTTTCACTGTGAGTGTACAAAGTGAATCGAATCTATTTTGAGCTCCTCACCACTGGGTCGAAAATTAGTAAAATACGCCTCTGAAGACAGGAACTCACTACAGTGTATAACCTCCATTTGGTCATGGTGACTAATTCTCCATAAGATCACAAACTCTGCACTGCTCTGAGCAAAATAGGGCAGGTCACTAAGGACAGTTGACACACATTATCTTTCTGTCTCCAGACCAGAACCAGTCAGAGGGGTTCACAAGTGAAATCCAAAAATGTAACATAATTTTTCAGTTTAAGCTGGTTACAGCAAAAGACTGTGAAGTTCTCAGTCAAAAGTAGCAAGGTGAAATGTTGAGTTGGCACTTTAAGGAGGAGACTTTTGTTTTTGCAAGATTCATAGAAAATGCATGGCAGTTAAGAGAGAGAGAAATGTATCCAACATAATAAGACATTTATGTTATGTAAATTGAATGAGGCTGTTTATCATAGTGAAGGCTCTGTGAATATAGCTCCTGTTGAGGCCTTCACCATGCCCTTATCCTGTGAGATGTATTTTAAGTTTAGCTCTTAAATAATAATCCAAACTTTAAGATTAACAATTTAATTTAGTTTTCACAGAACTTATTGACAGAAATGAATGAAATGCTAAGATATAGACCAAGCTGTGTATATTTTTTGCACCTCTTAAAATGAAGAAGGCCTCGCGACTGCCTGTGAAGCTTTGGTGACCCCTAGTGGGAGGTCAGGAACCTGTGGTCTAAATGATAGCTGAGGAGTTGCACCTGTAATCTACATTTTTACAGCAGTCAATAAATTGCACTAAAACCTGACGATAAGCATGTTTCTAATTGAATCTGAAGACTCACCTGTTGTCAGTTCTTGGGGAATTATGACAATACCAGATTAATGAAAATATAAACATTTATGTGTAAAAGGTTACAGTGTGTGGGTGCAGTATTTTACATGTAGGCGTTTACACAGTGAGCATCCAATTACAGAACCATCCAGTAATCTTGATGATCTCTATCATGTCTGTGTGTCTTATCTGTTTCAGAGGCAGTGCAGCAAGCCTCAGGCCCTCTGCTGGTGGAGATAGTGAAAAGTCACTCTGCCAGCCTGGGGATCAGCCTCACCACCACAATATACAGGAACAAACAAGTTATTATTATTGACAAGATAAAGCCAGCCAGCGTGGTGGAAAGGTGAAACTAGAATCTTAAATTATTCTGCTCCACAGACACTTTCCTGTTAAACAACGACTTTCCTGATACAACCTGCCGCTTTCTCACTCTCTCAGGTGTGGAGCGCTGCATGTAGGTGACATCCTTCTTTCTATAGATGGGACCAGCACAGAGCATTGTTCTCTGATGGAGGCCACGCAGCTGCTTGCCAGCACTTCTGATGTTGTAAAACTGGAGATTCTCCCAGCCAGCCAGAGCAGGCTTCTTGTCAGACCGCAAGACACAGGTATGTCCCAGAGGTGATGCAAAAAAACAGCAAATCTCTGTGTGAGATTGCAACAGAAAAAAACAAATCAGAGACATCTGAGAATCAGCAGTGAAAGAGTAAATCATCTGAGACAAAGCCAGTGACAAGTGTGACTATATATTATTTAGGGCTGCAACTAACAATATTTCACTGTTAATAGTTTTATTGATGTGTAAAATCTCAGAAAATGGTGCAAAAGGTGCCTGTTTTTGTTCAACTGAGCATCAAAAAGATACTTAATTTATAATAGTACATATCAGAGGAAAACAGCAAATCTTCACATTTCAGAAGCTGGTATTTTAAATAATCTATCATAATTGTTAGTAAATAATTTTCTATGGATTAAATCTGCAGATTTAAGAACTAATAAAATAATGTATGATGTTTTTATCATATCATGCAGCTCTAATTGCAGGGTGGCATATTCTCAAGGATGTGCTAAAAGACAAGAGTGCAATTAATAATAATTAGAAAAAAGAAATATGAAGGTTTTATTTAAGTTTTATGTTACTTTATGCTTCTGCTCCACTATAATTCTACATTTTACTCCACTATAATCTAGTTACTCGATGGTCACTTTACAGATTAACATTTGACATAATAGAAACATAAAGCTTATAAAATACAACACATCAAGATTAAAGATGAAACCAGAACTAGTGGTTTACAACCTTTTGGCCTATGACCTCTTACTTAAAGAGGAGTCTGTGAAAGAGGTCAAATTTTAACACAAACGGTATCTAAATTAGATAAATTAGCTCCACCCCAACCAGCAGCAGTAAAAAGCTGCTCACATATCGTTGCATCTGTTCTAACAATCTAAAAATGTTATAAATATAATAATATTTCAGTCACAGGAGACATTTTACTGCAATATTTTTGAGTGTAATTAGTTAAAAAGACTCCTGTACTTTTACTTGTAATATTGTATTTCTGGTACTTGTAATTAAGTAAAGGATCTGAGTACTTCTTCCACCACTTCATGTAGCCTAATATAGGTATTAAAATATATATTAACCTGGTGGCCTTTAAATGTTTTTAAGTATATGTAAAATGTATAAATGTCACAATTTTATATTAAAATATAAAATAAAATGTTGTACATGCTCGAGTGAAAATATGCAAATACATAGGTCAATGCAAAGTATTCACAGAGGACAATGTCGACTAATTGACTAATTATTTCAGTGCTATGTGATTTAAATCTTTTGAAGAAGTTCTGCATGTACATTGTGGAGAATATAAAGTAGACCTGCTGGAGTTCCGGCATGTTGTCCTCACTATATTGTTACTGGTCTGCTCTTAGCCGTTTTACCTACAGCTGTAAAGAGCCTGGCTGCCACCCAGCTGCCTTCTTTCATGTACTGTGAATCAGCCTGTGTGTATATGTGTGTGTGTGTGTGCGCGCGCACACTGCCGACCACAATCCCTCTGCCTTTTGGGTACACACTCGGCCTCTTATGCATACCAACAAGCCACACACACAAACACACTTTTCTCTGTCAGAGATCATGTTCGTGCCATGTCCTGCAGGCTTATTTCTGGGTCAGCAGCTGCAGGGGCTCCTTAACATGTAAGCATGAGAAGAATCACACAACATGACAAAGAGAAATAAGATGTAGTTTAGTCTTCTGTTGGGTCACTGAATTCTTTCTTCTGCTATTTCTTTCTTTATCCCTTGTTAATTTTTTATCTGGTCCACTCTTCAGTGTTTCACTTTTATTTTTGCCAAACTTTCATCCTAATTTACAGGCTTATTTCCTTTAAAGACAACATACAGATGATACTTTCTAAGTAAAATGATTAAACTGCACTGGCTCCTGTTGACCATTAAACAATCTCAATTCAAAGTGCAGCACAGGTGTCACTTCTCTATGATATTACAGGCATGTATCTTCTGAAATTCCTATTCAGTAATTATTCACTGAATAGGCGCCATGACGTTTTGATAAAACTATATTTTCACAGCTTCTTCTCCCCCCCCTCCGGGATAAAGCATGATTATAAGATGCAATTTGTCTAATCTCCTGTGGGGATTTAATAAGACTGATATGGCCACTAAGAGATTAGGAGTTAATGTTTCTTTCCACCCGCGTAGATCAGAAAAAAAAAAACACAATTTCTTGGAGAGCTTCCCCTAGGTGAGCTTAACATAAGCTGCCAGAGCCAAAGCTTTACAGGTTTTGATTGAGTCCGATAGAAACTGGTTCTCCGGAAAGGGCTGGAGGTTTCTCCTGCGAGTGTTCTGATTACATACGGTTGGATTTAACCAGGTTCCTTGAATGTGGCAAACATCCCAGGCACTACCGCAGTCATGCATGTTTCCAGCAAATCCTCCATCCATGTGAGCAAGTTGTCAGAGATTAGACCCCTGCAAATGAAGCAGCGAGGATTACTGTCACATGTAACACTCTGTGACAATTTTAGCTAAAAGAATCTGTAAAGGAAAGTTAATTATTGAGGTTAGTGTCACACGAAGGGTCAGTTGATTCCCTTTAAGTGCTTCACAGATACTGTTTGACTGAATGCGCTGCGTTATGCAGGCTTTGACATGAGGGATAAGACGCCTTTCAGAATTACCAACAATCTGTGCTCTCCATTTGGTTTAAAGCAGGAAAAGTCAACAGAATAGCTTTAAAAAATATATATATTATCACACAGGATTAAATTAAAACACATTTAGACCAAACTGTCTGCCAATCAGAGGCAGAAACAGACACCATGCATCATCAGCAATCAAGCTTTCAGCTGTTCCCAATCAAGGTCAAGCCTCATGCCTCCTAACAGCCAGTATCACTTCCTGCTGAGCGTAACAACATCATGCCCAGTGGTCAACTTTCTCAGACTGTTTTTGCACCTTCGGGCTCTTTTGAACATGAAATTATAAAAATGATCTCCAGTTTGCACTTAGCTTTTTGGAAGCTCGCTAGTAAGAGTAAGATTTTTTTTTTTTTTTTTACCACTTTCCATTCAGCCAACTCAGCTTTGTGTGTCTAAGTGATTCTCAGATGCTCATCAAAATACATTAAACCGCAGGATTTAATCTAGTGTACCATGACGAAAACATCAAATATCAATTACTCTGCTCTGAATTATCCTCCAGGCACTGTGCGGTGTGGTACAAATTTAGACATGGGAATGAAAGCGTGATTTCATGGGTAGAATTTAGAAAAGTGTACAACAGAGGAGTGGATTTGGTTTACTTAATGGATGTGTTTGCCTCCGTACTGCTGCAGTAAAAGTGCAGAAGAGCAACCATCATCCATGGGACCAAAGCAGCAACTACTGCCATCCCCCACATGCCAACCATGGCAAGACATGGAGCAGCCCAAGCCACCCACACAACCAGCAGGACCACTGCAAATGTAAGTTATCACTTGTGACAGCACTGCTGCTGGCGAGACACCATAGCAGGAGCTTTTTTTTCTTCAGCACGTTTCTTAAATCGTTTCCACAAGGTTTTTTCCAACACTGCATTTCATTCTATAGTTCCCATGAGCGTATTCTGCAGCTGTGGACGTGAATAAAATGTCATGGTCGCTCAAACTGTACAAGGCTTTTGATACGTGTAGTGCTATGTCTCCTTTCAGCTCTGGTGAGTGGTGGCTTCTCCCCTTCCTCCACAGCCACCTCAGGCTTCAGCAGCCAGGGTAGCAACACGTTGCCCTGCCCCATCCCTTCGATCGCTCCTAACAGTCCCCGCAGCTCGACTGGCAAGAGGAGGAACAGGAAGAAGGACCACAAGAGCTCACGTATGACAAACCGCCCTGCTTTTTGTTCCACGTTAAAGCATTGGTTCAACCCATTTACATGAAACATATTTCCTCATTTAAAGCTGGTGTGTAGTGCAGATTGTTTTGTTTTTTTCTCCCTGAGGTGTGAGATTTACAGGTGTGTGTACCTCTCTATAAAATGCAATACAATTTAAACAGCACCACAAACTGCAGCCTCCAGAAAATGATTATGAAGTTGAATCAACACCTCTTTAAAACAGAACATTATAACCTTTGTGAAGGTATTGCAGGACTGTTGTATTAGACTGCATTATTTTTAGCTAACTGCTCCTAATAAACTGGTATCTGAGTGTAGACCTACAAGAGTTCTGCCTCCAGCTTTGCTCTTTAAAACTAACACATTTTTATTACTTTTTGGCAGTTTGATATATACAGTACATTTATCCAGACATACAGGCGTGTAGTTGTATGCTTGTTTATAATATCAGTGGACAAATTAAGGCATTAAAAAGAAAAGAGATAAATGTAGTACTTGTTGAAACAAGATAATCCTCATCACTGAACAGTCTTTATAGATATTTTTCAGTGTGAATTCAGTAGCGTAGTAGTAGGCGCCCCCGCTACCAACGTTCATGTCACCCTCATGATGAATCATAATCACTGAACCCTTTAACTACTCTTAACTTTTCATCTAGCACCATCATCAGGTCAACATTTCAGTGTGTCAGATACTTTGATTTATGGCCAAATACCTGCAAAACTAAGGACATTCCCAACAGCCTCACACTAAATGTAGATGGTGAAGATAGTAAACATATCTGCTTAACATCAGCATGTTGTCATTGTGAGCATGTTAGCATTAGCATTAGCATT